TTAACCCATATGATCTCATCGCACCGCTCGTAACCCCATAGACTCAGACACTCTCTGCCCAACTCCATGGCCCGTCCCGTCACCCACAAGAAGATCATCCCCTCGTCCTGAAGGGCCGGTATTTGCAAGTTTCGCATCTCGTCGTCGGACATCGTTCCGTACTTTAGGCGCGATTGAGATAAATATGCAATCAGTGGTCAGTTAATGGAAGTGATAAACAACAGATAGCTAAACAACAGTACCGGTAATTCCATGTGTATATCCCAGGGCGGGTCCGCCATCACAACCGAGAACTTGCCTAATGTGCTCATATCGAAGAACCTGAGGTCGCATTTGATCCATTGGGCGGGAAATAGGATGCAATTGTAACGTTTCTCAATGGCTGTGATATTGGTCTGCGGGACGCCCACAGCGTCAGCAGTGCTGTGCACAACAGTCCGGTCTCTGTCCACTGGTTTGGACTGTTTATCGGAACGACTGGTGGAATAGTCGACCAAATAGTGGACATATTTACACGAATCCATGTGAAAGCATGTGTTGAGGAAAGAGCAGTCGCCTAACGACTCGTCGGTATGTCTTTGAATGATTTTCTTGAAGTGCAACCGACGACAGGCGCTGTGCGTCTGATTGGCTTTAATGCACTCCTCTTTGGTTCCGTGCGGACAGAACTCCTTCACCTGAACGCCGCCCACCGAACGGAACTGTTCCACAAGTGACTGCTCTTTGGCCGTCGGCCGCGACAACAGATCCAGTATCTCTTCGCCCATTTGTTTGCTTTGTTTCTCTCTGATTGTCGGCAAAGAGAGCAAACTCTCGAGCAAATCGTCGCCTTTGGTTTCCATTTTGGCTCTTTTAGTGTCCATTTCATCGACGCATAAACTCTTCGTCCGTTTCGCGCCATTCATTTCAATAGCGCTTCCGGTGTCGCTATCAATGGCATCCATTTCTTGGGCAAAATTTGTGAGCTTTAAGTGATCTAAGGATGTGATGGAAAACACTGTCTGGTCGTCACACGAAAGGTCTGTCTTCACTTTTTCTGACATAACAATCAGGTCCTGAAGTGAGAACTTTTGAAGCAAATCGTTGACCAATTGGTGACAATTTTGGTCACCCAATTGGTCGCAACTCTTCATCACATGATTGCACAACACGTTTGAAT